CCCAAACCTTGAAAAACGTTTGTGGTGTCTTAGGCGTTTGCAAGATTTTTGGCCACTTAATGAATTTCAAATCACACACCGAATACACCAGCCACCGATCTGCATTATTAAAACAGCGGTTAAGCACCTCGTTTTTTTCTGTCTCATGTTGATTAACATTTTCTGAAGTGGGCCGCGCGTTTTTGTATGCAAATAGACCGGGTGCGAAAATAAACTGTTCGTGGAGTGGAGCGACTATAAAGAGAGCTAATAAATTTTGCGAGGCACTCACTCGACGAGAGAGCGGTTTGATTAAAAATCACTGCACCTTTTCACGGCGGAGTGTGGCTTTAAGGGTGCGCGAGCTCTGTTTATCATTCTAAAGAGGACGTCGGGGTCAGCAGCACAAGATGCTTCTAAAGTTAAATTAAAAAACCGAAGATAATTCTAAAGCAAAATTCTATTTTTGAAGTGAAAAATTGAATAATAAGAATTATAGAGATGAGAAAGTGGATTTATTTAAATTTTATCCAGCCTTTACTACAAATTAGGAAAGAAATTTACACATATTAGAATAATTTGTGATTATTTCCGTTGTCAATTATGCGAAAATGCAGTTAAATTACCAAGCCCGGTGGCCCAGTGGTTAGAATGCTTGCATTCTAATCAGTGGGTTTCTTGGCCGTCATGGGATCAATGCTCAGCCTGGGGCTGTTTGTGGAAACAAATAGCCTCTGGTATGCGAATCATTGATAACATTTCGGCTGACACGTCGGGAATTTGGGAGGTATGGCGCAAGCTGTACCGACTCGCACTCGGAGGTTTGCCGCGTTTCCTCCGAGCCACAAGCTGGAAGAACTCAGCTTGTGTGGCAAATGCCTGCGTTTCATTACAAGTCCTTCGTGGCAAGGCCAGGGCAAGGGGCAAGGTCTCAAGGGGGGTGGGGGGCCCATGCGAGCACCACCAAATCTGCTAGAAAGCCCCCGAACAAGGGTCAGGTTGGTTGGGAAGCACAAATGTGCTAAGGGTGCTCGACTTCGGCAAGAGACCGACCCAATAGCCTAATAAGCTCACGGGTGCCATAAGCAAAATAAAAAAAAAAAGTTAAATTGTAAATTCATTGTAACAATTTTGTATTTTAAAATAGTATCTTTTTCCATCTGATGCAAAAGCTGGTATTTTTTGTTATTATTTTTTAATTCAGCCAAATAAAGCAAGAGCTCATGGTACCGCCGTTGGCCGCTACTCCTCATTCCCAAGTGGTGCATATATTTTTTTTCGCAAATTAAATTATACCCGTACTTTTTTCACGTTAACTTTTTCATTGGCCGTTGCGGCTGCGAGAGGTGCTAAAAATACATTATTTGGCCCCCACGGATCTTTAATTTATCCGCAATGCAGGCCGATAAATTTATTTGGCCGCTCGAGAGCCGCGCATAATAATATTCTCTTTCGGATTCAAATTCCTTCGGACTGCGAAAGAGTGAGAGAGGCGAGGAAATTCCTTGTTTTGTCGGCACTTTTTCTGCTGACTCTTTAATATGCGCTCTCCAGTTGCCCTCTGCGGAACAAAGCTCGTGGTTTATGACTGCTGAGGCGTGGGATCGTGAAAAACGAGAATCGTTGCTCAGATTCAATTTCTTTTGATGAAATTAAAAGTAATATGAAGAGTTTTAGTGAAAAAAATATTATTTAAAGTGAAAAAATAGGCACACGAGATCTCGAAGGTGATAATAAAAAACGGAATTTAAAGTCAAATTGATTTTATTTAAACGGCACTTCCAGTTTCGGTCTCAGTCGGAACCCCTTTATTTCATGAGCAAGAAATAATACTTATAAAAATTTATATCTTCAAAACAACAAAATTTATAAGCAAACGATAGTTTTGTTCTCAATTTTTCTATTATTATTGTTATTATTTTCAATTTCAATGTTTTTTATTTATTTTTTTTAAATTTCAATATTTTTAATGTTTCGTTTTCATAGGGTGACAGAAGCTTATAGAGATTTTTTATAATAACTTTTTTTAGTATAAAAAAAATGTTTATGCCAAGAAAAATAACATCAATAATTTACATTTCATCTGATGATAACCATTTTGCTTTCCTAAAATAATCATAATTAGTATAAAACTTCAATGGTCATTAATTAGTTAATTTTTTACATGTAATTAAAAGGCATGTTATATTTTTACTTTGGTGAGTCACGTGTGTTTGACCGCAAACCAGTTTGACAAAGAAAAGGACTTTTCTTAGGCAATCAATGGGTCTCGCACGAAAAGATTAATGCGCGATGTGTCTACGCAAAATCGCGAGAGGTAACATTATAATTTGGGCCCGGGATAAAATCAGAGACGCGAAAGGCACACACCCAAATTGATGCCCGCTTTTTGTGCATCTGCGCGAGTAATTTACGAGCGGGGGCCAATTTGCACGAGACCTGCAACCCATCATTAGAAACGCTCGTTTTTTTCCTCTCTGCGTGGCACTCAACCCGGCTACTTGATAATCACACCCGCCCCGCCGCCGCTGCTGATAAATTGCAATTTGCAGTTTCCAACTTGGTTCGAAAGCACCACGATTCCCTCTTTGGCAGGTGCGAGCCGCATTGGCCAAACGGCCATCGACACTCCCCAAATCAAGAGAGAAGGGTTTCAACTTTTTTATTACCATTAACAATAAGTGCAGAAGTTTAATCAATGAATTCGATTGGGGAAGTGAAAGGAATATCAAAGTAAATGTTGATTAATTTAGAAAGTTTAGTTTGATTGATCGCCAATATTAATTTTGGTTTGCCATGACAGAGGATCATATTTTTGTTATTGGAATAAACGAAATTTTTGTTGTAAATTTGGAAGTTAAATTTTTCAATATATCCAATAGAAAATTGATGCAAATCTTTGAATTATTTAAAAAAAGTTCGCATTCCTTGTTGTTTTACAAAAATTCAGCACAAAAAAATTACGTTTAAAATTTGAGATTCATCTCGATAAAAATTTTGATTCCTAAGATTTGAAATTTTTCGGAAGCAAAGTTAAATTTAATTTAATTTTTAAACTATTACCAGGCAGATGGAATTATTTGATCTTAATTAACGGAATTAAATAAAAGAACGTGGAGTTGAAAGATGAATAGATTGAGATTAATTGAATATAAATTTTTTAGCATTATTGACAAGTTTGATATTTTATATAAATTTCATTTCTTTCTAGTGTCAACTTTGGATGTAATTTAGAAATTGTCCCTCCTCAGTTGACACAACACGTCCTTTCAGGTTTATCCAATTTTCCCACTTCTCCAGAGGGCACAATTTTCCTAGTCAACTTTTGACAGTCGGTGGCAACTGCGGCGGAAAATATCAATTCCGCCTCTTGCAAAATGGAACGTCAAAGAAGTATATCTTCTTCATAATAATATAGCAACGTTGTTCTTTTTTATTATTATTTTCTTTCTTGGCGTGCGAGTGTGTGCCGTGAACACACAAAATATGCTTCCTCTCTCTCGAGTGATTGATCGTGGAGGCCGCCATCAATTTTGCTGCTTTATCTTGATCTGCTCATCATCTTTTTTGACCGAGCGAGCGCCGCCGCCGCTCGGTCGGTCGGTCGGACTGCACAATTTGCCAAGGAAGAAAAGCGGCGATCCGTTTTGTTCTGACGTGAAATGCGCCCGAGCACCGCAAATTAATTCTCGACCTCCTGAGAGAATTAACCCTCCCGTGATCGGTGCAGGTGCGCCCACTCTAGGGTTAAATTATTTCGTCCGCTGTCACTAGCAGACGAGGAGACGGCGCGGGGTCGAATTAGGGCGGAAAGTGGAGGCAACGTGAGGGTGGAATCTATTTGCGACTAAATCGAAATCCTGTGAGATGTTTGTTCAAAGCCATTTGACGGGGAAGCTGCAGGGAATCGCACGGTTTTTCTTCTTCAGAGATTAAAAGACAGATAATTTATTTCATTTCCAACACGTTATCGTTAATAGTTTGATTTATATTTAGTTATAATTTTCAGCGCAGACATTTCTAAACTGAAATTATTCAACAAAAAATTAATTATAGAAACTTCTCCATTGCGAGAATAATAATTATTGTCAATTTAGCTTATTTTACTTACAAAGGAGAATTTAAATGTATAAATATAATTTAAACTAAGTTTTCAAAGTAATCGTTTCAATGGCTTTTGCAGTTTCTATCAAATTGAAGTAAAGTCATAATTCATTTTTAATTATTTCGTGAGATTAATTTGCAAATAAAGATAAAGCAACATAAAGACAAACAAACTTAACGTAAATGAAAACATCAATTTCTAATAATTGCTCTCTTATTATTTTGGGTAAAAATTGATATTTTTTGCTGGTGGTGTCGACAGAACGCATGTGAACGTCGGCGAGTGGAGCGTATTTTATATTTAATGATGCGTGGTTGGCTGGGCGGGCGGTCGGTCGGCTTTCAGAGCAGAGTGAATCACCAGCCGCTCGCACTCAATTATTTTTGGCACGCGCGCCTCACTTTTCGCCGCAGAATCATCGAGAGATGAGAGAGACACAACTTTTGATTGAGTCTCGAGCGCGAAATTAGCACCGCCAGCTAATTATTCCGCTGGCCTGATTATTTTTCAGCGGCCAATTTTTTCGCTGCTAATTTTGTGTAATTTTAGATCGGCCGACCTAAACGAAAGAGCGAAAAGCTATTTGACATTTATTTTACTAATCGTGTAACATGAGGTTAAACATCGAATTTTAATTGCCAAATTACACATTTATGCGGAATTAAGACTATAAATTCTTCATTCATCGCTAATTCTTGTTTTTTTTTTATTATGAAAATTTTAAGAACTGAAAGTTAAAATATTATGGATTTTAATTTAACTGAAATCCATAATATTTTGTCGAAAAAATTAAATTACAGTTTATTTATTTTTTTCACAACTCAGACATTAGAAAATTTTCCAATTCCACTGAATAGTTTTAATTTCTTTGGTATCCATGGAGCGCAGACTTACTTGTAAATATTTTGTGTTTCAGGTAACCGAGCTCAACACAAGGCAATCGGTGGCCCAGCAATTTTACTTTGACAACCACACCGAGTGCCATTGCGTTCTGGTTCCGTCTCGCATAATCCCAACGCCTGCCCCTCTCCAGGACTCGAGGACCAGGGCAGGACGGACTGCTTACTTTGGTGACCAAACCGACTTGTACCATCGACACCCCTCTTCTCACCGACCTGTTCCTGCACCGCAAAGAAACGGCAAAGAAAAGTATTAATTAATTCCCTAGATTCCCACAAACGTTTTCATGAACTACATACTTAAATTATGTACTTAATTCTTAATTACTACTCTTCCATTTTTAATGATATCACTTGATCACATTTTTTAAATTCATCATAATTTCAAGCAAATTAATACGAAAATGCATAACCAAGATCTCTTTTTGAAAACTCTGCACTAAAAAAGGTTTTTTAATTCCATTTTTTTTTTAAAATAATTTCAAGTCTTACAATGGAGTGTGTGCCATTTATATGTTCAAAATCAAGGGAGCATAAATAGAAAATAAGTTTTGTAAACATTTACAAACAAATATTTTAACTAAAATGAAAGATGATAAAAAAATCTCGGTTGAGGTTTCTATCCTTAATTACTTTTGAAAAAAATGTTTCTAATTCACAATCTTTTTTAATTAGTGGCAATTAACAAAAACTTTGAATCTCTCTAACTGAAACTTGTCTTTTTCTGAATAAAATTTTTATTTTCACTACTAAATCTTGTAGTTTTTCTTTGACGATCAAAACGAAAACCGCAGAAATTTACTGCTGTGACGTGCAGTTAATGAAATCGGAAAATTACCATTCGTCTCAGTTGCCACTCGTAAATTTCCTCCACTTTCTCTTGCGCGACCCGAGTGCAATAAAAGACGCGCTTGGCCATTAAATTTGTCTCATTTTGGATACAGTTGCTCGCTCGCGCGCGCTCGTTGGGGTGCAATTAAAAAAGTATCTGTACGAGCCGCACGCCTGCCCACACCTCAAGATTGTATGAAGCATAAATTCTCAACCTCCCAGCTTGAAGCTCCTTTTATTTCACTGCTCCTTGTGAGAACGTGATCTATGGCCCGATATGAAAATGGAAAACGCTGCAGGCGTGAATACCGGAATGAATTACCACCAAGAACCTGCTGCTTAATTTTTTCTAATTTGATTTTTTTTCTAGAGAAAAGCAGTTGGCATAGAAACTGGAAAGAAGTTATTTTTTTCCTTTCAAATATTAGATTTGAAATAAATAAATCTGTAGTTAAGAAAGATAATAATTTAAAATAATTTATCACATTTTTTCACATTAAAAAAACGGAACATACAAAATCTCATCAAGTCGATTTTTCATTCTCATGAGGATAAAAATTTGGAAATACAAAAAAAAATCTTAAGACATTTACTCATTTTAAAAGCTAATTTTTCAAACAAGCCCACACAAGAGACCAAGCATGCACCTTGAGATTTGTTTGATTTATCCAATTTGTTATTCCGCTTCCACATGGCGCGCGTGACAAGTCCGTAATTCATCTCTCTCGCGCCACAGCTACATCCTCCTCCTATTCATCCTTTCTCTGCAGATGGAGATGACAAGGATTTGCATTTTTATGTGGCTAATAAATATTGTGACATTTGAATATAATTTTCCCTCTCTTGTTTGAAAAATCCAAATACAGTTTTTTTTTCTTATAAAAAAAGTTGACTTTTTACATACTTTACTGAAATTCTCAAATTTTCAGCTGCATTTGTCCGACTAAATTCACCGTACGGAATTTGGTGAATGGAAGCTGCGTCTGCGACTGCTTTGACCGAGAGAGGGAATGTCTGAGATTCAAGAAGGGCAGGGAGTCTTTCTCCAGGGAAGATACTGAGTAAGAATTATTAACTTTTTTCAGTACATAAAAAATAATTAAAACAAGAAAATGTATAAAGAATATAAATATTTTAAATAATTTACAATGCAGCAAAGTTTTCACTTTTGCTATATTTTTATCTACCTTATAATTATCCAGATTATGAATGAATTTATATTATTTATTTATGATTATTCACTATTACAAAAATTACATTATGCAGGTCCAAATGTCTGTTTCAAAAAAGTTTAAGCGATTAAAACTATTTGTTAATCAATTAGTAGCTGAATATGTATATTAACAAATAAAAATAAGTTCAAAAAATTATTTTACACATTTTTTCAATCTTTAATAATTTATAAATTATTTAACTTACTAAATATATTTTAATACTAAAAATTTTAAAAATAATATAATTTGATCATGACTAAAACAAATTTTTAATTTGGTAAAATTTGTTTTAAATTACAATAATTATTTGTTTTTAATTAAGAGCTTTGCTATTATCGTTTTTTTCTGCCAAATAAATATTTACTTTCTCGAATTTTTCCAGATGTATTTCTGAGAGCCGCTGTCGCACACCGATATGCGAATTTGGCACCTACCGTGACTTTGAGGGCAGAGGTCGTTGCCCCATGAAGGACGAGCGGTTCTACTCGTCATTTAAACCTCCAGTTGCACAGGCGCTGCACTCGGCGGCGCCCCCTGCCCTTCCTCCTGTAATCTCGGCACCTTCTTGGCCACTCAGGTCGCAACCTGGACACACCTTCGACATCCCTGGACGTCTCGAAAGACCGCCATCTTGGATCTACACCGCCGACAAGAAGTGGCCTCCGCAGCAGGGCATCTTCGTCTTTCCGACGCCCTCAGCGCCTCCGGCCTGGAGCAGGCCGACGACCCCGTCGACCACCACCCCCAGACCCACCCCTCGATGGAACCCCCAGCCCATTTCACCGACGCCGTCTCCTTTTCCCTGGATGGCCAGACACGCCTGGCCACCGAAACCTCCTGAGGAGAAAAAGATGTACCAGGCGCCTTCAAAGTGGAGCCTGACCAGCCCTGAGTTTGGAGGTGGCTTTGCGTGGAACCCTGAGGAGACCATGCGACACAAGCACAACAAAAAAGCATAAGTTGTACTTCAATGAATGCCAGAAAGCTTTTAATACTTCTGGTCTTGAGGAAAATAACTAAATTAATTGACACAAATTACGGATTTTACGATGCCATAGAGATTCATTTTCTGAAAATTATTGCGTAGAGATTACAAAAAAAAAAAACTTCTCAGATACAAGATAATATTATTACCAAATATTAAAATCTGCTGGGTGCTTGCTGAAATTTTAACTTCAGTTGTACTCAATTTACTGCATATTTTGGAAACTTTTAAAGTTTATCATTACTTCTATTTATAAATATTTTTCTATTTCAACGTTTTTTTCCTACATTTTGAATAAAGAGGGAATTAAAGATCACAAATATTTATCAGCAACAATAACTTAAGTGTCATTAATTAAATGCTGAGAATGGTTAATATTTAAGGTTTCACCTCATGAATCAAGGAAAAGTTGAATTTGTCTGGAGAAATTTGAACATGCATTTTCATATAAAAATTACATCAAGGCAAGAATGTTGCCTTTGTAGTTATGCAACTGTCTTAACTTCCACGTATTGCCGTGATGCATAAGTTTAATGTAGAGAAATATTGTAACAACGTAGAGTTTTCTTGGATGTAATTGAATGTTGATGTCAGTCATGTACTTGTGTTCATATATATTTTACTTAATTTTTTATTCAGTATGGAATGTCTGAACCACCTTTATCATAGCTTTTCAATTGTGTACATTTTTTTGCATTTTTACAACAAATAATTATCATTTTAAGCATTCTCAATTTATAATTCAGATAACCCTTTGATGCAGATATACCAAAATAAAATCAATAGAAAATGTACTGTTGTATGTATCAAGGATTTGCAAATAAAAACGCTACCACTTTTGTAGGTATAGTGATTACTGTGCTAAAATATTAAAGGTAGCAGTTGCTGGCTTTTAATCATGTGCAAAAAAAGTGTAACAAAAAATAGAATTCATTATTGTAAGTACAAAATTGTGTGTTTCATTTTTACAAATTCAAAAGGTTTTAGGGACAAATAGAAATAAAATTGGTCATATTTTCCACTCTATATTTATCTTCACAAAGACATACATTTACACAATAATTAATCCTCCTGTTCATTGTTTGATTCTATATCTTAAAAACTAAACTCGTAAACCTTACAAAGTAACCAAAGGAAGTTTTCTGTTTAAATTAAAATAATAAATCGTCAAAATCCACTCGCACGTTGTGCGCTCAAAATCATCATACAGCATCCAAAGACAATTTTGTCAACTAACTTTAAAATAATTAAATCTGCAAAAAAACCCTCGAAAATGTAATTTTTCACAGAGAGGTTTAAAATTACCTGCGTCCGGGAGGACATTATTTGGTTTTTATTTATACAAAAAGGCCTATGAATTGGTTGCTACGCCTTTAGCCTAATTCAGGGGGTTGAATGATTTGTTTCAGGGCGTGATTTTAATTACCCAGATTTACTTTGCAGTACAAATGCGCGAATTTTGAGGGACATTGTTTTTTGGCACCTAATTATGAAGGCGGCTCGTCAAAAGATTTTTTTGAAGTTTTCAGAGTTGTTGGTGTTGATCCTTCATAAAGAGGCATGTGTTCATTTTTACTTTATAATTAAACTCTTTTTCTCCGCACTCTCTTAAGTATGTAATTTTACGTTTGGATTAGTTTATTTTTTGCACTCTGGCATGCAGCTACGCAGTTTGTATGAAAAATCTTTCATCATCTCGCATCACAATAATTTTCAGCAACGAACAATTAGGGTTCTGCTCATTATAATTAGCTGCCGAGATGAACAAATTTCAACAACATCACAACAATCTGCCTCTCGTTAATTTCTCTCTCTTTTTAAAAGGCTGCAGAGCCACACAGAAGCTTAACATTTTTCTCCACAGTCTCGGACACCTTTCACAGTAAATTTTGCATTTTCCAAACTGATAAATTATGAGAACAACTCAAAAGGGGTGTCAAAATGCAAAATCTACAATTGAAAAGGGCCAATATAATTTGCAAAAATCGGTCCCTCGCGCTTGACGCTTTTCTAATGTGTGTTTGGTTGAGATCACTACAAGAAGTATAATTTTTGATCGATATAAAACACCGAAAGTTACAAAAAAGTGCATTATTTTTAAACCTCCAGTGGTGTGCAACTGCATTACAAGTTTCAATCTTTTACCAAAAGATACAAAAAACCCTCCACAAATTCTCCATTAGCTTCAACCCTCAAGAAGGAAATTCCCACTCTTCATACCAACGTAATCAAGGTGGATTGTAAGTAAGTAATGTACTATTGCTCAGATCAGTGTTTAACGTAAGGGATGAACAAACATGCTGTAGGGGGTTTAATAAACACAAAATTGCACAAAAAGGTAAAAAAAAGAACGTCTCTCTCTCAGTCTATGTACAAGCGGCAAATAAACGGATGACACGTACAAAAGAGTTTGTTTGTTTTTTTGTTTGTTATTCAATGGGAGACATTTTACTTAATCAATTAAAATTACTGTAAGCACTCTTAGATAACTAAAAAATGGTCCGAAGCACACGCACTGCACTTGCTCTTGATCTGAAATGCGCTCTGATAAATTTTGCCCAATCGACGAAGGGTTGAAGAAGGAAGTTGGCCTCGTCTTCTTCTGCTCTTGCAAATCTCTCTTCTCGTTTTTTCCTCTTGCTTGCAATAAAGAAAGATGCGGTGGCGCCGGCGGCGTTCAGAGGGTCTTGGCGCGCTCCAGCAAATCTTCCACGAATTTCTGCAAAACCGAAACACAGCGTTAAATTCAATTAGTGAGAAAACGGCGGCAAACAAACACTCTCGGCTAACACTCTGACAGAGCTGACAAGTGGGTGCAAAACGAGCTAAATTTAGTGCTCACTGGCCGCCGCGAGAGAGGAAAAGGAAGAGTGAGAAAGGTAAGTGTGATGGACCAAATGGCGTTTCAAAAACTCTTCTCAGAATTTACGCAGAAATTTTCCTATTAGTTTTGAAGTTAAACAATTATATTTTGAATCAAAATAAATTATTTTAATTTTTTTTTATTTTTTTTTTATTTTTCATTTTATTTTTCTTATATTGATAAATTAATTAATTTAGTTCAACTTCTCCTTTAACTTTGGTTAAAATTAATAATTACTTGGTAAATATTAATATAATATCTAATAAAAAATAAATTATTTAGTTGATTGGACTGAAAACAAGACGAAACGATTTAAACATTACTTAATGACTTTCTATTTATCAGTTGTTTTGCAAACAAAATTTATATATAATATGTTCAACAAAGATCAAATTAACATAATTGGAATACTAAATAGTCTCTAAATGGCAGTTTTAAGAAACATTATTAATAAAATGACAATAAATTGTTTTTGATAAAAAATAAAAATCAGTAAAGATAAAATTAAGAATCAATTTTTAAAAGGTAAAAGCAATAAACATAATGAAATCAAAGTTATCTCTCCCACAATGAGTTTGAACTCCTTGAGGTGTGATTGTGATAATATTTCCATTTTATTAATTTTAAGGGCCAGATGAAATTTAATAATCACACTAGCAAACAAACAAAATTAATTATGAAGTAAAAATGTAGGTTTTCTTCACTTTTTTTCTGACCATGAGAATACCAAAATTTAAAAATTTATCTTTATCTTATTTATTTATTTACTTAAGTTCTAACAGAATAAACTCATAAAAATAAACACGGTTCCGTGTGATTATGGAGGTCTAGGAGCAAATTGGGCAAACAAAGTCGTCTAGGAAAATAACCACGGGCAAGGCGATCAATTAACGAGGCTAAATAATGTGCATTATTCTCGCGCGACGGCGACGACATCCAGCGAACGCGGTTGTCGCCTCCATTATACACTGATTGCGCCAGAAAAGAGCAAGATGAAGTAAATTCCTGGTCATGTGTGTAAATGGATCCGCCGTAAAGCGAGAAAGAAAAGAGCTATGTGTGCTTTGTTGGGTAACCGTGAGTGAGTGAGAGACACGAGCCTCTCTCAAATGTCCCATTGTCACACAACAGACCAGAAAATAGATTGATGCGTTTGTCTCTCAAAGCATGGAAAATGACCCTGAAGCTACTTTCCTGCTTTAAGAATTAATTTAATTATTTTGATGAAAAATTATTTAGATTTGTTTCCTACTTTTGCCTATTCTCGAGAGTGTTTATTTGGAGCCCAATGACGAATGAAAATAACATTTCGTGTAACAAACCTTGACATCCAGTGGAGATTTCTTGGCATCTACCAGGATTTCCTGCAAACAGAAATAAATTTCAAAATCTTGCATTCCGAATAGAAGCATTTCATGTCACGTATTATTTTTTTTTTTAAATTCCCCTTAACAATGGTTTCATTTTGTCTACTTCTAAGAATCCATTAGGAGCACTTCTGCGCAGCTAACGAAGCGTGCCCTTTGGTAAAATTGAGCGCATTTTGGTAATGATGGATGCAATTCACTTTTTTTATTCACAGTCGGCTGCCGATTCTGTGAAGAAGTATCGATTGAGACAGTTTCCTCGTAAGTGTCAGGACGACGCTTTTTATTGGAGATGAAAATTTTTTAGCATTGATACTCCATATTTCTTTGGCGTTTTTCACTGGAAAACTAAATGGCTTACCACTTACTTTCTTTTAATTTTGACAATTAATTAACAAATATTGCGTGCGAATTTGAATTGAGTTAAACTTTTGCATGCCAGTAAGAATATAATAATTAGGATTGGAGCAGGAAGAAACTAAATCACTTTAAAAGTTTTATCTTCAAGAGATTTGATGCTACAAAAATATATTAAAAAATATTGAAAAAAATATGTTTAACCAATTTTTTACAGACCTGAAATTGGCTAGCCATATCTTTATTTCAAAAAATTTTATTTGCAAAAATTTAAAATTAACGATATAAAGAATAAAATAAATATATTAACAAAACAATCTAGTTATTATTAATAATATTTTGTTTACTCTAGTAATAAAAAAATCCTAATGGAAATGTAAAATAAAAAAAAAAAAAAAAAAAAACACTTTTATTTATAGAGGTTGCCTCTGTTTGAAATTGGCGTAAAATAGTCGTTTGTTTGCACGCGAAATTCTTTTGGCGCGTCAGTCAAATAATCAGTTTGGCAGACAAAGAGCCCTTTGTTGGCTGGTTTGGCCTGGCCGGCCACCCATCGCAGCAGCAATTGAGGGCCAATTCGCTTTTACACCTTTGCCGACTGCGCGAGAGCTCATCAGCAACTTGTTCGTGTTTATTTGGGGCGCTCGCTTCGGAAGCCCAACAAAACGTTGCCTCGCAACAATAATGGACGCAGATTTGCCTGCGTAGGATGCACGGCCAAACGAGAGTGACGCAGCCATAGGCCGACGAAAGCGACAGAGGCTGTTTTTATTTCTAAAACGACGCGGTGAAACGATAATGTAGTGCAAGAGCGCGGACTCGGTCGTTGGTTTCCGCGGCACCGGAAGTGGTCTGTGCTTGATTTCTGCGATTTATCACTCTCGCTGACGGGACAGTCGGATTTTGAAATCCAACTTGCGCAATTACGGTCGTAAATAATTTTAGACTTGTAGCGCGAAAGTGAAGATTAGTCAGATTAAATTCCTTGTTAAGTTCAACAACAGGATAACTTGGTGAAAATAAATTTAAAAAAAATTAAATATAAAATGGAAAATATAAACAGTTCGCTTTTACCTTATTTATTGTTCTTCGCAACCGTAGGAATTGTGGTTTAATCTTATAGCGAAAACCTAGAGTGCTTACCATTGAATTTAAAAATATAATTTTTTTGGACTTTCGTAGATTACAAAGCCGCAGTAAAATTGCTTCAAAATTTAATTTAAAATATTTCACAAATAAAATGTGATGTTCAAAAATGAAAACTTTATATTTTTTAATTTTTGTTGACTGAATTATTAATTATTAACTGATTTTTCTTAGCAGTTTTCATTAAAAAAAAATATAAATAAATAAAAGGAAACTAAAGTAGATTAATTTAGAAGCTGTTTATTTATATTATTATTTTATTTTTTATTTTTGAGAGAGCATTTATCTCAATTTAGTCTGACAACCACAAGTTCTATAGATAAAAAATATAAAAATTCTGATAAAAGTACCAAAACATTTTTCCCCCACAAGCCCAAGAGCGTTTCCTTTCCCGAGAGCACAGACTTTTCTTTCTCTTTTGGGAAGCGAGATTCAATCGCGAAATGGTTCCCCTTAGGCTTTTCGGACGCGCTTTTCCTTTTACCGCCGCGCTTTTCAGCTTCCTGCTAAGAAGATAAAGCAAAATCCAAGAAATAAAACAGAGCCGTCTGCCGTTCGGAGCAACAAGAATCGACGTCGACATGCACACAAGCCGATTTATAACATTGGATTCGACCAGATCCAATATTACATATAAAAAACGGGCGGAAAGCACGAATAAGCGGCTGGAAACGGTCTCGTGACCTTGTTTTTCCGGCTAGACACGGCGTCCTTTTTTATATTATGTATTTCACTTCCTTTGATTTTGTTTCGATTTTATTTATTTGCTCTCTCGTGCACTCTTAATGCTCTCTCGTGCGTGCTCCGCCGGACAAGCATCTATTTTCGGAATTCGAGTAAACTCGTCCGAGGGTGCCAAAATTATTTCGCCTCATTGCCGCTGGCAGCCGAGCTGGAATTCCCTATTATCATTTTTCACGCCACGTCATGCAAAATCTGCGACGCTGGCCCGCAGTCAAGAAGCGGGCGCGCTCCAATTAATGCCGGCAGCAGAAGGGTTGTAATCGAAGAGAGAGTTCGGCCACCCCTCACACCAGCACAAAAAGTTGCCAGAGTTTATTTTGGCCCAATGTCAGCTTCCTCTTCTCCAACGAATTAAAAAATTAGTGTTTTTAAGAGGCGACATAATAGCAATTTGCACAAACGAGGCTATTTGTGATGAAAAAGTTGCCGTTTCAAAAATTTACTAGAATAATTTTCTCCAAAATATTTATTCTAATGAAACGGCACAATCAATATTGATGATAATTTTGCTTTTAATTAACATTTATTATTTATAGATTTAATTTACACCATAAGCAAAAATTAATTCATTGGGAGAGCTATTTTTTTTTTAATTAACATTGTTTCTTATGGGAATTTTCTGAAATGATTTTTTCTTAAAATTATAGCATGATGAAATTGATAAAAATTTGTTTGCGTGTTTGGTTTGTATTAAAATTTTAATTTTCTACAATATTGTATAGCTGGATCTCTTTTTTAGTCTTTCCTTCCATTACGAACCGTTCCTCATTATTTGATTCTTATTATTTTTGTAAACGAAAAAAGCCATTTGTAAGCGTCACACGATGCTCGCGACTCTCAAGAGAGTTCAAAGTTTTCCACTGAATGCATCAGCAGACTAGCCTTTCAAAGGCGCACAAACAACCAAACTCCAGCAAACTCTGCCAGGCCAAGTTCCTTTAACAATCCACCTTTTTATTCTTATTCTCGTTCCCATCCAACACGAGAACAAAGTGCAAGCCAATCCCCTTCTAAGCCACTTTAGCACGATGGCAATTAATTTTCAAACGCAAACAAAGCCTTATTACAACGCACCAAACAAAACAAACAAACACCTCCCTCAAGAGGACTCTCCATCTCTTGTGTTCTGCAGATTAATCGAATCGCAAAGTGCAGTTTGTGGATCTAGGGATGGCACGCGGGTGGAATACTTTGCAAAAAGCAGCAGCAGTTCGCCCCAGTTTAAAAGCTGCAGCCACGCGAACCCCCGAAAGTAGGCCACCCATCCCGGTGCTCGTGACCCAGTAACCCTCGCTGGGAAATAAAGGGGTGGTGGATGCAGTGGCTGCACCGCAAGCTCGGAATTATTCACCGGTGCAAGTGACAGATCCAGGCCGGGATTATTTATTCAGATCCCGCTCTGTTTGATTGATCTAATTGAATGTGTGCTTTTCCACATATCAACCTAATGATTTATTTTTCTCGCAGCCACGGGAGTGGAAAATTCGCTGACGGTTTATTTCCAGCAGAAATATATAAATTTTCATTTCCATCCTGAGCAGCAGCCGGCAAATAAAATGCTAATTAACTGCTGGACGCGCAAGTTTAGGTTCATAAATTTCCATTTTTGGAAGCTCCCCTGTTTCTCTCGCTTTGTGAAAACGGCGAAAGTTAATTACCATAAATACATTTTTGTCTTTTTGCTTAAAAGAGATTTTGATGAAGACACGACTTTTTAGGGCGGCGCGCGTGCTTGGTTGTTGGTTGGGCGGAATTATCGATTTGCCATCAGCTCGTCAATTTGCGCCTCGTTTTGGCGTCGAGTCAACCACGCCGCGTGATTGACAAGTTCTATGAACCGTAATGAAATCAGGCTCGCCGCGTAAAATTTGATCAATTTATATGCCCTTCTTATACATCAGTCGATACAACAAAATAATAGAGATTGATGATGCAGAAAAGATTCAAGTTATATTTTTTATTATAATTTAAACTTATTTATCATATAAAATTTTTTTCTCTGAATGACATGTTTTACATTATTATAATTTAATAAACTTGTAACTTTGTATTCATAATATCAAATAATACCATACATATTTTTCTTTTTATTTTATTTCGTTTCTTTACCACCTTGCGTAAATTTAATTATAAAATAATTGGATACAAAAAGTTAATATTTTGACATTTTCCATAACTAATAAATAGTCTTAATGATTTTCACAAAAACACTACGTGAGCTGATTTGGTCGACAGATAATATTTTATGATAATCAAACTATTTCTTTTACTGGAATTTTGAATCATTGAAGTGTATGACAAATCAAAATTCTTTATTGGAATAACTGTATGTAATTAAAATTGTTGTGTATTAGAAATATTAAGTTTGAATCAATTAATCTAGAAGCAAGAAGCGCAGAGGGCACATAAAAACGGCAGCACTTTTTCAGTCGGTCCGCCACTTTTGCGAACTTTGCCGTCCGAGTCGTCCCTTTCCTTCAAAGCTTCCCCCGCGGCCCTCATAAAGAAGCGGCTCCAGACGTGGACAGCCGACTAATCAGTCGCCGGGGGCGGAATGGTCCTCGTGGGCCTTTTTGCCTTCTGCCAGGCCTCGCAAAACGCAAGACCAAGAAGTGTGTGCGAGGAAAAAAACAATGAAAACTTTCGAGATTTATGGTCGCTCGCCAACAGGGTTGGAATTCTGACGAGTCAAACGCTGACGAGACTGGGATGCGGAGGGCAATTAATTCTTGGGTGGCGCGCGCTCCTCTCGAACTATAATAGAGACGCGAGAGAGAGAGATCGTTGACCCAAATAGCTCTTTTTATCGCACGAATTCCTCCACTGCTTAGCACGGTCTTAATTGATTTAACAATTATATCTGCGCCAAGTGGAATTATGACTGCCATAAATGAATTTTTGTTATTCCGATAATATATGAAAATTGTTCATTTATTTCACTTTCACCATTGGATCCGTTTTCAATATCGCGAATGTGAGGAGAGATGGAAGTAATTTCCAATTTGGAGGCACTGGAGCGTTTCCAACAACTGCTGCTATGCGCAAGCCGCTCGATTTTGGCCCACATGCGTGCATGAATTATTGACGTCGCTTGTTTAATTGAATGTAATGACGAGCGAGACATGATTCCTCGGCAACCGCGTTTGCTCTCAACGCGTTTGCGGCTTCCAATCTCGGTGAAGCGAGAGGAACTAGCGAATTAGGCATATTATTTAAGAGATCAGATTTTTGAATTAATTGTAAACTAAATTGTTGAATTGTTAATTATTTGGAAATTTTAATCAGATAAAATTACGCTTGAGAAGGCTATTTTTGCCATCCCTAGATATATTTTATTTTTATTTTTCCAGTGTTACATTTGGAACGCCTTTTTAGTTTTTGTATGTTTCTTCAACGGAAGGAACTTAAGAAGTTTCACGATCAAAAGAGCATTTCGGTGTTATGCAGCAAGAACTTTTGAGCATGGACTTTGTGTGTTTACTCTTGTCGAAAATGATATCGCTCTCTTCTCCCTTTCAAACTAAACCGGGACTTTGTTGGTGCCTGGAACTCGCGTTCAAAGCAGCTCGGCGGTCGGATTCTGCTTGCAAATAAATCTTTGCCGCCTCCGCCGCGCGTGTCGGCTCAGGTTGAATTTCGCTCTCGCACCACCGAGGGAGAGTGCAACACACTTGCACACATACATCTTTTCAAACGAGAGGGTTCCAAGTGCGAGAGTGAAGTTATCACGCTTAGTTGAATTGCCTCTTGCGTTTGGGCCTGGAAATGGATTTTTCTCTTTCGAGCTCGCACAGGGACCGAATTGAAAAATCGTGCGAATTCAAACCAGCTGCTTTTAAAATTAATCATCATCGACACAGGTTGGATATTTTGGTACACTTTTGAAGTGTTATTGCAAAATTTTCCTGCTCGTCTCCAATTTCAAAAGGGTTCATGTAATTTAATATGACGGCGCAACAGAGAGGCCCTTTGAAAGTTCTTCTTCCTCCTTTGGTGTGGAATTCACGATTATATCTGCTAGTTTTTGCGGCCCTTTTTGCACACTGGGAGCGTTAAATCGCGTAACGTCTCCGACATGCAGGCAGTGAGAGTAAGTACGAGAGGCGTCCAAGAGCAGAGTCTGCAATATGGGCTGCACGTGCGGGGCCGAGTATCGACCCAGCAGTCGACGACGGCGAGATGACTGCGGCTCCTCTCGCTCGCTGCTCCAATTGCCAGCTCCTTCGCACCTTGGGCAACGCCAGCGAATTTTCCATCCACATACTCGCCCGAGGAAATCCCACCGAGGCCTGATTTGCAAAAAAAAAACTTATCCGATTTGCGATAAGTGATTACGTGCCTGGAGTTTCATACTTTATTCAATTTCTCGGGTCGGACTGATACCAGATTGAGATTCAACGATACTTGAAAAAGTTATTGGGAAAAAGGGACTTATAAGAAGAAAATTAATTCCATTCAGGAAAGTGTGTTCTAATTTGGAAATTGATAATTTTTTATCGATGAGATTGAAGAATAATAAAGGATGAGATGAAAATGAACTTCTTGTAAAGGGAATATCTTTTGAAGAGGGCAATTCATTTTTCTTTTCAATTTCCTCTTTTGCAGATAGAATAGCTGAATTAAGTTTCTCTAGTTTCTACACAGAGCATGAGTTCAGTATAAATAAGTTATTCTCAAGTGCAGCCACTCCAGTTAACTCTCAACTTGGTTTTTGTTCTCAAATGAGCTCATTCAGGGGTAAAAAATATCAACTCGTAGTTAGAACGAGAGACAATATATAAATTTATTTATTAAAAAAATTGCCGTCAGCGTTTTCGACGTTTTTGCATCTTCAATGAAGAGCTGCTCGCCGCCGAGAGAGCACTAGAAAGACTCCTCCATTCATTGAAAACATACTGGCAACGTCTGCTCTCGCGGAAAGAATTTTCTCTCTCGTCATTGTTTACATGCACATGTCGGAAATAGGCGGCGATGATACGAAAATAAAAATAATCACGTTCCGTTGCAGCTAGAGAAATATATAATTTCATAATAAATATTTCTCGTTTCTACGCGGTCGTCGAGCGGAAAATAATCACATTCAATTACTCGCCAGATTCCTTATGGGTCGCGTCAAAATGATTGATCTTTTTAAGAACGGAGGTGCGAGCTTTTTCCATCTGCAAGGGAATTTGCAGGAGCCGAGCGAGCGAGGTCGTTATTTTTTTAGCAGGGCAATTTTCATAGCACGGCGCCTTTTTGCGCGCACAATGCCGCTGCGGAGGAATTGCAATTTGAGAGGAGGCGGGCAGGAAGCAAAAGTCGCTTTTAATGGAGCTGCCGGTGCAAAAAAGAAAGAAAAAGGGGTTACTTTGACAAATGGGCCGCCGCGTTTTTGTCTGCTGCACGCGTGCTCTTGAGCTGCAGGTAGTTTTGCGCAAACGCCTCCGCTTATAATGCGACAGCGACAAGTCGTAAGGATTTTATTCGCAGACGAGAAAACGTCTAGGAATTTCCTCCTCGAGAAAGGTGAACGGACACAGATGGAATAAAATTTATATAAAAAAACCTGGCCGTGAGTCATGGTCTGGATAAGCGGTGAGTCATTTTCAGGGTGAAGGCGGAAAGAATAAAATCAGACACCGATATAGGAATCGCATGATTAGCAGCTGCTCACCTGTAAATGTTGTCTTCTTTGATTGTCATCATCCATGTCTAGCAGGTGATCCAAGTCAACCTCGACCTCGGTATTTCCAGTCTTGGACTGCAACAAAATTAAAAGAAATTAATAATTAAATAAAAAAGGATTATTAACATATTATAACATCAAACTTTAAAATCTTAGTGCACATTTATTTTTTACATTTTTTTTTATTTTTACGTAAATTTATTATATATAAATTAAGCGTTTAAAAAAAAGGATTTTATGATTTCTATTCAGTCTAGTTAATCCGTTAAATTTACGGATTAATATTTAATATTCCGTATTGCAACACAAAAAAAATACGCAAGCGTTTGATAACACATGGTAAAATAAATTAAACATGTCATATAATGTGTTTTTTGTTGTAATTAAATAATCCAATTGAAGAAAACTAAAATTAAACAACACCAAAAAATATGGCATGAACCGATGTAATGGTACAAAAATTTATAGGAAATATAGGTCTGTGTTTAGGTGGATTTGATTGAAAATATATTTGAAACTATATTTCAAAATCTTTAAAAAGGGTTAAATTTAAATGTTTGAAAAATAAAAACAAAGGTATAAAAATAATGACTTAAGTTATCACATTATTTAGAATTGCACAATATAATGCCTTAAGATTTTATTTAAAAAATTATAAAAATGTTCAATTTCTCAACTAAAACGTTCGTCACTCAATTAATTGGATGGAAAGTGAATATTACTTTTAATTCATTGCCCAGCGAACCAACGGTTGCAATTAAATTATTCCACTCTCATTAAGCACCTTTGAAAATTGATCGCAGACCGGCTTAAATCGCAAACCACTCCAATTGCGACTTGTACTGCAAAGTAAATCAAACGAACTGTTCAGACATAAAATAAACCTTAAGCACTTAAGCAACGCGTTCTTTCAGCACACTTGGCTGGTGAACAGAGTCGTATTTACACTAGCTGCGGAAGAATGGAATTCTCTATATTATTAAGTTGCTTTCGCGCTCACGTCAGTGAACGTGATGCATTTCCATCTGCAGCTGCCAAGCCGCAAACTCACATATTGATCTACAGGTAGGGCACAGCGCGGCGTTGGCCATCATATTGCAGAAGGCAGAGCCGTTTCTATAGCAACCCGAAATTACCTCTGAGGTGTCCAAACTTAACGGACAAGAGGGTGTCTTATTTCGGCTTGGTTTGCATGTTTCGCGGCGAGGTAGATGATGGCTTAATGCATCACGTGAGTGTGCTGGGGAAACACCACTGGCCTACCTCGGTTACCATAATAATAATTATTGTTTCGTGTAATGCACTGTGTTTATTCAAACAACGGCAAAAGTTTTGAGTTCGCCTCGGGGCAAACCCAATGGCGTGTAAAATTGTTTATCGCCGTGTCTGAGAAATGGATAAGTTTTAACACAGGAACTACATGGACGTGTAATAAATAAATATTCATGCCCAAAACACGATTTCAATAATCAATTAGTTAAGTACATAATTATTTTTCTAAAAAAATTAATTCAAGTTCTCGTTTGAATAGTGAAAATGAACCATTTTAAAGCGTGAGGTTCAATTATGTTTCAATTGTAAATATATTTTTGATTAGAAAAAGATAGATAAGGATTTTATTAAATTTTTTTTTTTTATTTATGAAAAGGAAATTAATTAATTGCGGAAAGACGATTTTCTTATAAAAAAGTTACTTACCAAGACTAGAATTACAATTCCTACTAATTATAAAACCACAATTTTGTAATTACAAAATGTGCTGGAGTTTGTTGAGGCATTAATTGTGCCACTTTTGTAATGAATTCTCTAGGTTTTTTTTCATTTTCTTCACATTTTCCAAGACAAAAGCTATCAAATAACAAAGGCTGTAAAAGTCGCAATTAAAAAAAGTACACAATTTCTAGAGCTCAGCATTCTATTTTATTCTCATTCTATTTGTAATCTCGTCGTCGACAAGCAAGAGAGAGGATTTTCTCTTCAGGAGCTGCTTTTAATGATCACTGCTGTTGCGAGAGGCACAAAGAAAATACATTAAATTATTTGCCGTGGACTTAAAGTAAATTATACGAGAGTTCCCGAGAATTCGCATACAAGCGTCCTTGAGCTCGAAACTAGACCAGCATTAAACGGGGCGAGAGATTGCTTCTATGGCTGACCTGATTTTGCACCACCCTCGGTGAAAAAGCAGCCCCTGCCGAGAGCACTGCGAGCGGTGCAAAATCAGGACAAACTTATCCGGAGAACCTGCTAGCAAAAGCAAATCATTCGTGGGTAATATAAAATCGACACACTACATTTTATAAGAGCTTCGTGCTCGCTCGCAATTCCTGGGAAATCAAAATAATTTGCAAACTAGGTCGAAGCGAAGTAGCTCCGAGCAGAAGTTTCAAGAAAAGCCTGGCATTAAAGTGGAAAGAGCGACACACCACGTCTCATATATTAAACAAGTTATATAAATTATGTGGTTATGTTTTTCGAAGTGATGATTAAATATAAAATTACTATATCGATTTACAAATAATAATAAAGTTTATGTTACCTACTTAATTTTTGCTCTCAACTCAGACATGTTTTTGTGTGATTAAGTGAAGTAACAAAGTTAACCCTGGACTAATTGCAAGTTTCTAAACTAGCGATAAATCAATTTGACGGCCACGTTAAGTTGGAAAAGCTTTCTTTATACACATTACAAGTCGCTTCTCACTCTCATTGTCAGTAAAGTAAGAAGCACCACTAGTGTGCGTCTTGAGAGCTACTATCATATAAATTGGATAATCTTCCGGCCATTAAGGGCGTTCGCCGGCTGCCGGGGGTGAATCGAGTGTTTACGTTTCCATCCGGTCATCACCCCTTTCTTAAAAGAAGTGCAGAGGCGCAGGTAATGGTCGTGCACGCGCGCTGTCAGCAGCGATATTTTCCGACGAATTGTTTACAGGATAAGAGCTTATTGACTTTGACAGCCGAGGTGTTAAGAGCAGACATAACACCCACGCGCCTCTTTTCATTCACAAACCGTAAAATGTGCCAATAGTAAAATTTAATATTTAGTTGAAAGAAGACACATTTGTAGGAAAGGATATAAACAAGAATATTTTTAAATTTAGCAATTTCAAATTTAAAAAAATACCAAACTTCTTTTAATTTAAACAAATTTTTGAATCTCTATGATTCTCTATGAAATTAATTTTTAAGAAATTAGTTCCCATTTTCATCCTCTACAAAGAATCTTGAAATCTCATTTTTTATTTTTTATTAAAATATTTTATAAACATGTTAATTTAAATTTTATTATAATTATTTAGCTACTGCTAACATAGGACACTAATAAACCTCTATAGTTATTCCTAAAATTCTTGTGCTCTGCTAGGAAACCTTGCAAGTTTGCCGACTACATAGGGCGGTCTGGTACCGACAAGTTTGAAGTTAATAAAGAACACTGTCGTTTGGTTGCACGCGGCCGACGGATTTAAACCCCCCTTTTGCACTTCCATACCATGCATGCACGGTATTATTTTCCGAGAGAGTCGCGTGATTCGACGAATGTTCACTGAAAAAAACACCCCTTCTTATATTCTATGCTTTTTCGAAATGCAACCCTTTCGCGACGGCTGCAGCAATAATTATCCGGCCGCCTGAGGGATTTACGAATGTATTCACGCGCGTGTGTACTTCAATGCTTCAACCCTCCAAGCTCGAATTATTCGAAAACCCCACGCAAAAACTGTCTCCTCTGCGTATATGAAATGTGTGCTTTCGCAAGGGAGCAGGCGAAATGACAGCCGCTTGTCGCCTTCGGAATATTTATTTCATGCACGGAGCGCACCGGCGCCGCATAAAACATAAATCATGCTGCACCTGCTGGGCTATTGATTTTTCCCGCGCCGCCAAAACCAACAGGCAAAATCGTGTTTTGATTCCCAGCAGGTGTACTCGTTTTGCTCGGCTAAAGGGGTTGTTCACAACGACGATAAAACGGAATGGGCAATTCCAGATTATCCTGATAACTTCATAACCTTTGAATCCCCTGTATGTTCTTATTCGTAGCCAGGAAAAGATGCAAATTTATCGAGGAATTTAATTTAAACAAAATAATTTAATTCAATAATATTTAACTCTAAAAAATGTTAAAAAGAGCGAAATTTACTTAAATTTTCATTTTCTTTCCGAAAGATTTTTACTTGTAAACATCTGAACACGATGCCAAGATTAATGATGTTGAAAAACCGCTGAAGAATAAATATAAAAATGACAGCAGAAGTTGAGCTTTTCCCGCGACAACGAGTAAAAACTTTTGCAGCAAGCACATCATAAAAATTAATGGGGACGTTCGCATACTCCAACGAGATTTTCCCCGTCTCTCCCGCCGACTAGCTTCCTTTTCCGGAGGCATAAATTTGAATAATTCCACGCCCACGCACCATAATATTTTCATTATTTGCCCCGTCGCGCACGAATAAAAACAGACGTCCCCTAAATCGTTAAAAAATTGCACTGCATGACGAGCGGCGCAGAAAAAACTACTCCCCTTTTTCGGAGCTGATTTGGCCTCGTCGAGGCTGTGACTGGATTAAGAGAATAAAATTATCATCAAGAGCGGATCGGAAAGAACGTCTGATTTGCAAGCTTCTCTCTGACGAGAGGGAGTCGTCAGCAAATCTTGAAGCCGCCGGGCAATCGATTTTGCAGCCGGAGAGATTTATTCCTCCACGATTGGCCCCGCGGTGGCACAGGTCGTTCATTTGGAGCCGAATTTAGAACCCATTATTATTTTCGGGAGGCTGCTTTTTATTGGGGGCGATTTTACGAGTTTGAAATGGGGTTTCTTGCGTGCTTTGATGTGAGCATTTATGATAGTCTTCCGACTCAGATGATGCAGGAAAACGCTCAAAATTACCTTTTCTTGAACACAGGCCTTCCTAGATGGGGGGAAAAAAAATCGTAATTTAAATTTAAAATCAGTTATTTTTTTATTTAATTTGATTTAAATAGAATTATATTTTCCATTTGACTTTAAGCTGCTTTTTTAGGGCAAAAATAATTTGGAAAACCAGTAAAATTAAGCCCCTGGCAAATAT